TTTCTTCTTCTTTAACATGGAACCTTTAAATTCCATTACAATCAGACCTCTCCAAAAGTATCCCCACTTTACATGTTGTCAGAGTAAGATCTGTTACTTAGGACCCTATAAAAAATTAAATCAAACACTTTCTGAAAGTCTTTTTTTCAAAGTATAATATATACTTTAATAATATGTTAATTACAATAATCAAACAGATTTTAGAACGCAATTAACCAAAAAAAAAGGTATTCTGAATTTTAAAAAATTCAAAGAAAGTACATTATCTAGAGTTGAGTTCATTTTCGTTTAGATCTGTTATTCTGAAAAATAACCTCTCTTTTTAGGGAATTTGGCAAGAACATCACCATTGAGAGCTTCGAGGATGCGGTGGTCACATTCCGCTGCGCCGGTGCCCTGCTCCCGGTCAATGTGAACATGTACTGCGAGGTCCTGCATCGCGCCCTGCTTGAGGGTCAGTGGCAGCAGGCCCTGAAGATCTGCCGTATGGGGCAACATGCCAGCTTGTGGGCCACCCTGGCTGCGGTGGCCACCAGGAAGCACCAGTTGCAGATTAGCGAGGAGGCCTACTCGGCGGCTCTGCAGATCGACAAGGTGAGCTACCTGCAGCACCTCAAGACCCTGACGCCCTCGAGTGCCGAGCAGATGGCTGAGAACTCACTGATGCTGGGCAGGAATCTGGAGGCGGAGACGATCCTACTGCATGGCAAGAAAATCGAACAGGCCGTGGGTTTGGCTTTGCGGATGCACAACTGGCGGAGAGCCCTGGAAATCTCCCAGAAGCACAAGACGGAGGAGCCGGACTTGATCCCACGGGTTCTCCAGGAGAGAATCAAGTATCTCAAGGCCCTGCAGCGGGAGGAGTGGGATCCACTCTATCTGCCCTTTGTCGTTAAGGAAGAAGCTGATACTCCAAGTGAATGAAATGGAATTTTGTAATCAAGGAATCCTAAAAGCTTTCCTAATGTATAATAAACAATTTTAAAATTTACTATAAGTATTTTTCAGATTTTAGGAACTTATTGAAACACTTTACATCCTCTGGTCCATTTTAGTAAGCGGGAGAGGGCATGGGCTCACCAGCCAGTCCTCGTAACACATTTTGGGATGCCAAAGTGGCAGCATCGATACGCGTTCTCCTGGTGGCATAGCCCACATGCGGAGTGACCACTGTATGAGAAAAACCAAGGAAAAATAAGTAAAGTGCTTATGAAAATGGGAACGGGAAGATAAGAACTTGAAGTGGTTAACTCAACAAAGCTTTAAAACAATAAATCAAATATTAATGAAGAATACTCACCAACATTGTCCAGAGCGAGCAATTTGTCATGGGACTTGAGAGGCTCAGGATCCATAACATCTAAGCCAGCCGCAAAGATTCGCTTTGCTTTCAAGGCATCGTAAAGGTCATCCTGGTTGACAATTTCTTCAAGACAAAATTCATAGAGTTATAATTAAATCAAAAGGTATACTTAAATACTTACTGCCCCTTCCCACGTTGACCAGTACTGATGTTTCCTTCATTTTATTAAAGGCGGTGGCATTAAACAATCCCAGAGTGTCCTTGTTCAATGGTGATGCAATGATCAGGAAGTCACTTTCCGCCAGGAGGGTATCGAAATCCACCTTAGAGGCATTGAACTTCTTCTCGATCTCCTCACTAACACGACTACGGGTGGTATAGAGCACACGGTTGATTTCGAATCCGTACAAACGCTGCGCAACCGCCTGACCAATGCCTCCAAAGCCGTGGAAACCCACGGTGGAGTCACGAATATCCTGACCCAGCATCCAGTCCAGATGGTCCTTGTCCCAATTGTCACTAGAATTAAGGAAATATATCTAATAATATATCTAATATATTATAATATCTAATCTTCCATCTTCCATATTACTATATCTTAATAGTTAATATGGTCTACTACATATTTTTACAATAGTAACCCACTATTTGTGTATTACCTATCGATCTTTCTTCGACCCTCTTGAAATCTCCGAGCGGCGGCGATTAATAAACCCACAGTTAAGTCGGCAACCGCAACGGTTAGCATCGCAGGAGTACTTCCCAATGGAATACCCCTCTTCTTCAACTCCGGCACATCCACATTGTTGATGCCCGAGGACATGGTGGATACGGCCTTCAGTTGTGGACCAGCAGCATCTAAAATCTTAGCATCGAGGATATCTCGACCGCCCCAAATGGCAGCATTTACGCCCTTGATCTTCTCCAGAATTTCAAGCCGATTTTGTGGGGGTTCACTCGTCACTTGAAGGATCTCGCATTTCTCCTTTAGGATTTCAATGCCCTCGGGTGGAACATCGGTATGCGCAATTAGCACTTTGTAGAGCTTATTTGTTGACATAATTGGGTGCTACAATGACGAAACAAGATAATATTTGATAGTTAAATCAGTTACTAGTGTCATTGGGAGCACTTGATAGATAATCGTAATGCAGAGATTTGCAAAATATTACTTTCTCTTTTGAGCAATTTAATGGAGAGCTTTTTCTCTTAACTCACTTCGAAACTCTTAGGTCGCCAAAATTATTTGTTAGCACTGAAGATTGCTGCTCCGAGTTTGTTTGACGACTGACAAATTATTGGTTATGGTAGCACTCTTTTATAGGGATTCAGATATCGCAAACACTTATCACCTGAAAAGCTGACAACAAAATGCATAGAAAGCTTTGATGGAAAACTTTCTATGATAGATGATAACAAAGAATATGTCTTGTTACTAAAATCAAATTCTTATTTTTATAGCTGATAAAATGAAAACACCGAAATTAATAATTTGTAGTAAATATTGAATTTATTTGTACGATAATGAATTGTTTCCAATTTGAGTTAGTATTTTTCATAAAGTTGCGGCTGTTTCTTACATTTTCTCAGTAGGCAGGTCTTATCATGGGCTTTCCCTCGATGCAGTTTAGGATATTATTGGCAGCTAGTAAACTCATCTCAATGGTAGTCTTCATTGTCTGAGTGCCCATATGGGGAAGGATAACTAGAAAAATATAATAAATATTTTGCAATCTATAAAGAACTAAAGTTTCTATCCCAACTTACCGCAATTGGGCAGTTTGAGAAGAGGACTATCGGCGGGGAGGGGTTCTGGGGTGGTGACATCCAAACCAGCGGCAAAAATTTTGGCAGTTGTCAAAGCTTCATGCAAATCAGTTTGATTTACAAGACCTAAATTAACAATATTAATATGTAGAATTCAAAATGAAAACATATATTATCTAGAACCTACCCCCTCTGGCCACATTGACAAACACCGAAGTCTTTTTCATCAGCTCAAAAGCCTTCGCACTGAACTTCTCCCTTGTTTCGTTTGTTAGTGGAGCAGCTACCACTAGAAAATCAGATTCCCTTAAAAGGGTTTCGAAGGGCACGTGCTCTGCCTTGAAGTCCCCATCGTTTTCCTTTCGCGTGCGAGTGTGGTAAATGATCTTAGCCACATCCCAGCATTGCAAACGCTTGGCAATGGCTTGACTGATGCCCCCAAAACCAAAGAAACCGATGACTGAATCGCGAATCTCCTGACCCATCATCCAGTTGATCTGCTCGACTTTCCATTGGGATCTGGAAGATTTTATTGTAAATTACTAAGTAAATAAGATTATTAAGTTTTTCTTATTAACACATTTGACTTTGTTTTTTTTGGCAAACCATCTTTAATCTTTAAAGTTAATAACTGAAAAATTATTATTACCATACATCTTTCCTTATGTTTTTTTATACCAACTTTAATATAACTTTAAATATATCCTTTTTATAAATGGTTAGTATTTACCTAAGCATTTTTAAGATACTTTAAACAAATAAACCCCTCCTAAATGGGGTTGGGTTGGTTGGCAACCCTTATACAAAGCTTTCTGTTAGGAAAGCTCTTAGTGAAAAGCCCCAAACAGCTGTTCTCACCTCTCGATTTCGGTTCGTCCGGCGTGAAAATGACGACCGGCTGCTATCATCAAACCTATAGCAAGATCGGCCACCGAATTCTTCACCACCCCGGGGGTATGACCCAAGGGGATTTTCCTCTTCTGGAACTCAGGAATATCCGCATAATCGAGTCCAGAGGACATGGTGCTTACGCAACGCAGCTGCGGCCCAGCAGCATCCAGAATTCCAGCATTTAGGGGCTGATAGTGGGCCCAATATATGGCATCCACTCCGGACACCTTCTTCAGGATCTCCTCCCTCGAAGGCGGCACACTCTGGCATATGATGGTTTCCGCCCCTCGAGATCGAAGGAGTTCTAAAGCCGGTGTTGGAACATTCGGATGCGAAACTAGCACTTTAAAGGCACTTGCAGCTCGAGACATATCGAAGGAAAATTACTATTTGTAGGATTTAGCTGTCAACTATCAGCGGTCGGTTGCAAAAACAAACTGTTTAGTGGAAATTTCCCCACTTAAGACAATTCTCAAGCTTTTTCTGTTCTCCCTCTCTTAAGCTCTGACTTTGCTCTTAAGTTCTTGGATTTGCTCTTATTTTAGCATGCAAATTATAAAACTTATTAGTTGTTGTTATTATCAGGGTTCGTAAATATCACTCAAATTAAATTATCCTCAACATAAGCATACTGTGATGAAAATAAATAAACATTGCTCACGATTGCAAAAATTATGAATAACAATTTGTTCCCATGATGAGCGATATGTTTATTTATCCAGAATGCCTATTTTGTATTTTAAGCGGTATAACAATATTCAAAAGATTTCTAGCTTTCCTAAAATTGTTAGTTTTCCGCTTTCTTAAAGCAAAATTAAGAACTAATGCAACAAACCTATAAAATTAGTTTTCAAATTGTGCATGATAATGCACAATAACGATAAGAGAATATTCCAGCTTAGCAAATTCCATAGTATTCAGCCATTTGATAACATCAAGTAGTTAGTACCTACTATTGAAAACAAGGGTATCAACATTTTCCACCCCTGGAATCAATGATTAACCATATTTAAATGAAGCACTTTGCACTCGCAAACACTTGTATTTTTAATTATAATTTTTTATTTTCACGTCTACCAGCATGCCAAGGCCACTGGTGGCCTTTCACACTTCACTGGGCCGGCTTCCCACACCGGTTAAAGCTGAAATGCGATTTTCCATTCTAATTTCCTAGTAGGCGGGCGACAACATGGGCTCCCCAGCCAAACCCCTGAGAACGTTGTGGGCAGCAATGGTGGACATATCGGCACGGGTTCGGTTCGTGGCGGATCCAATATGGGGCAGGACAACTGAAAGTTGGGAAAAAAACAACGCTCGGTTAATTAGAGATATGATAAGATAACCAGTTTTAATAAATCACCAAAAATATGAACATGAAAGGTCGACTAGGACATAAAAATATGATAAAATAAAAATAGAAAAAAACCCTAACCTTTTTTTTTTAGTAACCTTCAAGATACCTTAATAAAATCTCTTCCAAATACTTTTAGACATTGTCAACTACTAAACAGATAAGAAGAAATCTCTATTTTGATAAGACGGCCAGAAATGCGAGTATTTCTTACAAGGGGGCCTTAAAAGCAAGTCACACTGATATCAATAGACCCCAATTGTTTTGATTGTCCCACTCACCGGCATTATCAAGTGTCAGCAGCTTGTCCTTGGGCGACAGAGGTTCCGGATCCGTGACGTCCAGACCAGCGGAAAAGATTCGGTTCGACTTCAGGGCCTCATAGAGGTCATCTTGGTTGACAATCTCTGCGGGGGTTAAGACATTTTAGGTTCTGTTTATAAACCCAATTGGTGTTTAATACTTACTGCCCCTAGCAATATTGATAAGGACAGCGGACTTCTTCATCTTGTTGAAGGCGGTGGCATTGAAGATGCCCTGTGTGTCCTTGGTCAAGGGGGAGGCGATCACGATGAAGTCACTTTCGGCCAAAAGGGTATCGAAATCGACCTTCTTGGCGTTGTACTCCTCCTCGATCTCCTTGTGAACACGACGACGTGTGGTGTACAGCACCTTGTCAATGTCGAATCCGGAAAGACGCTTGGCAATAGCCTGTCCAATGCCTCCGAAGCCATAGAAACCCACGGTGGAGTCGCGAATGTCCTGGCCCAGCAGCCAGTTGAGGTGGTAGTTCTCCCACTGGTCACTGTTAAAGAAAGTTTTAAAAAAAATGTTAAGATACATCTTTTTAAAAATGAAACTAAAATAGGCAGACAGTTTTTAAACACTTATACCAAAAACAAAAACAGTATAACAAAAACCTTTAAAACAAAATTGGTCTATATTTACTTTTTGTATAAGTAATGATTTTAAAAGTTGTTATATAACATTAAACTTTCTTTAAAAACTTTTCTTTGTTTCGGAAAAGGTTAAAATGCCTTCAAAGCGTAGAAATTATATTTTGTTCCGGGTGGTATATTAAAAATATCAATCAATTAAGCACTCACTTGTCGATCTTCTTGCGTCCTTCGTGGAAACGGCGACTGGCGGCGATCAGGAGACCCACTGCCAAGTCGGCGACGGCGGTGTTGAGGACGGTAGGGGTGTGTCCCAGCGGGATTTTGCGCCTCTTGAGCTCCGGCACATCCACGAAGTCGATGCCCGCCGACATGGCGGAGATGGACTTCAGCTGGGGACCGGCAGCATCGAGGGCCTCGGCATTGAGGGGTTCATGTCCGGCCCACAGGACACCATCGACTCCACGGATTTTCTCCAGAAGTTCCGCCCTGTTGATGGGAACACTCTGCAGCTGGATGACCTCGCAGTTCTGCTTAAGCAGATCGATGCCCTGCTGTGGAACCTCGGGGTGTGTCACCAGGACCTTGAAAGCCTTGCCAGTGGACATGGTGAGGTTTTGACTGGGATTACTACTGCCCCTGCGCGGAAGGGAGGCATTAGTATCGGTTATGGCCAGGGCCACGATCAGTGGTAACAAGAGCTGAGCTATGGATCTCATCCTAAGGCGTTGCGATCGAAGTGGAGTTTCGCAAGCAACTGAGCAAAAAAGCGGCATACCCACCCAGCTTTAAAGAGCGACGAGGACGGAAAGCCGCTGCTTCGGCTGCTGCGACCCACGATCGCAGCCGATAAACCAATGAACCTGTTTAGCATTATAATCCGCGCTCTATTTGGGTATTCTCAAGACTTCGAGCAGCTGATATCGATCTCAGTTCAGCGTATAAGACGCCAAACTGGTTTAAGAACTTAGCGGTAAGACGGCGGGAAAAGGTATGATACTTAAGTTTTTATAAAGAGGGGATTCTCGTAAAAATAAAGACGTTGACCAAGTTATTTCAGGAACCAAAACAAGTTGCGGCTTAATATAACTTTCAAATGAATTTCGCTTAATATAAAGAACAAATTAACAAGTCATAAGTATAAAATGATTTTAACTTTTTAAGACAGCAGTAAATAAAAATATTGATAACAATTTAAAGACAATTATGTCAGTGGAAATTTGATTAAATAAATTGTGCACTTTCTTTAATGATATTTATAAATTGTGAAGTACTTTGGTTCTAACAAACAATATTGCAAGAACTTAGTTACTCAAACACGCTCAAAGTCATTAAGGTTATTTAATCGCTATCTCAACACTTGAGGCCCCCCAAGATTTATGGCGAAATTCCGAAAACAAAACCTTCTAGATATGTTCACATCTAATCACTTGTTCACGACTCATTTAAAACTTTTGACAATTTGATGCTTTTTTCGCATTGTTTATGGGGGGGGAATGGAAAAAACCCACACTGAAATTTTGATATTAATTGCAATTGTGTTCAATGTCACAGAAGAACAAACTATCACTCTTAAAAGCTCTCTTAACTAAGGGGGTTTACAGCCGTCGGAAGAGAATTAATATGTTTCCCAATTATATATATTTTACACTACAAAATTTATCTCTGTTACCAAACTTTTTCGGGTAGTCAACAAATAAAAGCTCTTTCTCTCGACTACTTTCTCTTGATATATTTTCTCTTTTTTGCACTCTTACCGTGAGATCTATATAACTAGAATACTTTTCAGCTTTGCGTTTGCCGCACGACTGAATGATCGGAACCCGAAGCTTAAGCCTTTTATAGAAACCACATCATATCGCAAATAAATTATCAGCTCTGAAAAAAGAGTTATTAAAAGATATTTTTTAATCAAAATAATTTTGGGGGTAAAATTAGCACTACGGTTTTTTTATGGATTAAAATTTGTTTGTGATGAAATTACCAAAGGGGTTTACCGATAATGTTCTATTGTAGATAGATATAGATAGATATTAATGACAAAGTTTTATATTCTAGACCTTAAGCAACTTCCTATCTTTTTATTTTCCACAATAAGTTTTTATATTGGATAGAATCGATTTTTAAGGCTAACCGGAACGTTGTAAATCTCAGGTACTGTTTTTTACTCAATAAAATCATTTATACTTAAATAAATATATTATATTGGGGTTATATTAACAGCAATTCCAGTCTTATCAGCAGCATTATCAGCCGCACGATCGACGACTCTCTTACTCTCTCTTCTGATTAGATCCGTGATTTGCCGTCCCTTTCCATCGTTGCACACTGCGCCCTGCCTCCGCCCCTCAGTCCGTCTCTTTCCAGCTGCTTATCTCGCTGCGTTGTGCCATTGCTTCTTATCGGTGCGAACGAGACGCAAGCGGAACTCTTTAAGGGAGTGAGCAGTTGGGAAAGCTGCGCGCCTGCTCGAAATACCAGTTGGGGACTTTTCCCATGTGCTCGCATGCAATTTCCAATTGGAATGGGCACCACCGCAGTTGGAGCCACTGGAGGAGCAGTGGAGCCATTTGGCCGGAGCTGGAGCACTGGAGGCGGTTGGAACGTTGTGGAACCTACACGACCAGCACTATTTCGCAGTTTCGTACGTTTTTTTGTGAGCGGATCTGCTCAAATTTTGTCCGCAGAGCAGCAGGCGCTCAGCGATGGCCAACGCACACTTACTCACTTCGCCGCCGTCCCCTTTTTTTGTTGGACTCTTTTTTTTTGTCTGTGTGAAAGCGGCGGCAAGAACCGTTCGCGTTGGCGTTAGCGTCGCCGTCAGTGGTGCTCCCTTGACTTAAAACTAGCTAGGTTTTCAATCATCCATCAAGCTACTTTAATATTCTTATATTTTTACATAACATTGCGTATACGCAACATCAGAACTATTGCATACCTCAAAATAGCATGATCCGTTCTGTTTCTGAAATTTTTATAAATTTTCTGTGCTCAAGAAAACGTTTTTGCTGTCAAAAGTCTATGATTAAAGTCTTTTTTTATATGAAATATGTATGTATTTTTAAAAACACATGTTTGTTTGGCATCAAGTATACGTCAAACCCAAAATATAGCATACATTTAGGTGGTGTTTTAAGTACTTAGTTTTCTCATTATCTTTACTTCAATTTAATATCAAGTAAACCAAATTATTATTTTAAAGTGTTATATGGTTTAGTTTAGTTTTTATAAGCTATACGAATTTAGCTGATTTCAAGCGACGTATTCTTTGGCATTAAGTATACGTCGTACACAAAATATAGCATACATTTAGGTGGCTTTTGAAGTACTTAGTTTTCTCATTTTCCTTACTTCAATTTAATATCAAGTAAACTTAGATATTATTTTAACGTGTTATTTGGCTGTTTAGTTTTTTTAAGCTCTACGAACTTAGCTGCTTTCAAGCTGCCGGCAAATGTAGTAGCTGATGTTTACATACAAAGTAACTTATGTGGTTATGGGTCTTTGAATACATATGTATATAAATACATTCATACATAGGTCGCCTGCACTGAAAGTGTTGGCTCTTCCTCTTCCCTTGGAGATTTGGCCCAGACACTGCACTTTGCCTAATTGAAAGCGAAACGGAAAACACGAACCAAGTTTTTAGCGCTTGGTGCGAGGGTGGATTTTTTTGTTGTCGTGACGCTGCGTCGTGTGTGTTTGTTTGTTTTTTTTTTCGTCCCCCACTACGCTATATTTTCTTCATGCTTTGTTCTTTTGTTTCGTGGTGATTTTCTTGCGCGCTCCAGCGGTAGAGCGTCAGCAGAGCAGCGGCAGAGCGTCGCATATTGTCTGCTTTTCTTGTTTTTATGCTTTCCTGTTACCAAAACACGATGCGTCATTTTGACTGACGTAACCGGGAGACAACATTCCAATTGGAGACAGCTGTCTATCAGACGCGACCGTCGTCGTTGTTATCGTTATCGGTTTGTCTTCTTCGTTGTTGTTGTTGCTCCCCTTGGTCGTCGGCGGTGGGGCGTTGTCGTTTACCGTTACGTCTGCTGCCGCCGGCATTGCCAGCGCTAAACTGCGGTTTGGCGAACAAGCAATCAGCAACTGATGACAGCAGACAGCCGCCCCACAAAGAGAGTGTGTGGGGCAGAGAGAGAGAGGCAGAAAGAGATGGAGAGGTAGCGAGGAGAGAGTAAGGCGGAGGAGTAACGGTGAAAATGTAACTGCGGCGAAAGCTGCGGAAGCTACCTCAAGTAGCCAACACTCTCGATCTCGCCTCTCCAGCATTATCTTAACCCTCCTAAGGTACACATTTAAATGGGGACTTTCAAACCCACAAATGTAGGTCCCCAAATGTGGTAACATTGTATTACCGGGAGTGTTACAGAAACTACTAGTATTTAAATAACTCATACATAAAGTAACTAAAAGTATGCTGTATAAAACGTAGTCATTCCGAATGGTTCTACCGGATTGAAAATAAATTGTGGCCCACTTTTAGACCAAGTTGGTTTCAAGATTTATTTAATCACAAAACTTAAATGTCTCAAAAATTATAATTAATTAATTATATAAATGTAAAATATTATATATATATTATATACATATAAAAAGTTAAATAATATTTTTATAGTTTAAGTTGCAGTTAATAATTATTGTGAATTTCCAAGATATTTATGTATGTACCTTTTTTACCACTCACCATTATTAAGTGTTAATCACCTAGAGCAAGCTTTTTCTCCACCATATCAGGGTTAAAGTCGAATGTCAAGGGCAAGTTGCAGACACCTCCTAAGCAGCATCCGCAAATATATCTCCATACTGCTTGCAGCGCATTCTGCTTTCTTCATATTTGGCGACAGAGCAGCGGGAATCGCAAATGGCGACCGAGCGACAAAGCTGCAAAGCGAAGCGTCGCGCACTCCGCGCAGGCGCCTTCAGACCGCCCAACTCCGCCGCCATCGAAGGAAAGAAACGTAGAAAGATGGGGGCAGAGAGGGCACAAAAAAAAGTGGCCAAGCGGCACCGATTTTTATAGTGTAGGCTCCCTAAAATTGACGCGCAACGTTGAGGCAGGTCCCTCTACGCGATATAACGGAACAGGCGCCCAGAGACGCCAAGCAGCTAGAGAGCCCCACCACAGAGAAAGAGAGAGACCAATGAAGCCCCAAAGCAGGCAAACAGAGGCTGCGAGTGTGGTGGTGAGCCCCAAGTCGATGGCGGTGCCTACATACGTCACAGCTCTATGCATGAGTAGCGAAAGAGCAGGAGAGGAAGCATCAGTGAGCTCCACAGCGTAAGAGAGGGTGTGAGCTCCGCCACCTGATGGAGAGAGACAAAAAGAGTTGCAGAGCATAGGAGTTGATGCGCATTTGCATTTGTACATATACAGTGCACTCTCGATATAAGCAACCACAATGAACTAGGTTTGCTTTTTCAATTTTTAGTTTTGTTAAACAACCATTTCAATTGCTATGCCGTTTTAATAAACACATCTGAAAATGTATGCATTAACTTCCGTAATAGGCAATAGTTTATTGTTATCCATTGTTTATCCTATATAATTATATTTATAAGAAATAGTGAATGTTAGTAATACCATTTTTAAATTTTAAGGATTGTTGCTAGCTTCAGTTGTATTATATTTTGTGATTTCATATTTTGTTCTTTAAAATAATAATAAATAAACGCTATTTCCGCCGTACTTTCACATTTATTTTTTTATACATAATATAGACGCCCGATTTTTGTTAAAAAGCTACTATTTCTATGCTAATATTTAGAAATTCTGAAAAATTAAAAAAAGCTAATACGATCATATTCAACGAAGCTTTAATTGTTCCTATTAATTTTCCATTTATTTTTCGAACATTCCTATTGCAGCTCTGTATATTACGTCCAATATTTTACAAATTTAATTCGGAATACTGAAACTTAAAAAATATGGTATTCTGAAGATTATAAGAAAATATGTCCAAAACAGCGAAACTATAATTTTTCTAATTTGTTCCATTACTTTTCCGATCACACCTTTAAGAGGTACTAGTATATGTTTTAGTTCTCAGTTTCAGCTCAATTTAAAATTGCTTCAGTGACGAAGCTGTTGCATCAATGTTGGCTTTGCAAAGTTAACATTGACTGACGTCAGGCACGGGTCGTAATTTACATGTCTCTGTTGGTTTGTTTTTGTTGTTTCTGTAGTCACTTTGTTGTTTACAGCACATGATAATTATGGGAATGCAAGTGTTTTGTTTTCGCTGCTGGCGCGGTTGTAGAATTGGGAACGCGTCCAGGGTTAATGGAAAAAGGTGGGGGTGGAGATTGGGAAATAGGTCATACATGCCACTCACATATGTATTTCAGGCCAAAGAAACGATGGTTTCCTTTGGAATACATAATAAACTATGTAATTGATTTTGACAGCTCTTTACTCTTTACAAATAGTGCAAAAAACCTGTTCAACTGACGGTATGGAAGGTTATGTTACTGAAAATTTTCCCATATGTAAATACTTGTAAAAATAGTTTTATTCAAGAAGAAAAAAATAATCTTTTAAATTATAGGATGAGTTAATATTAGGATAATAGCTAAAATGGCTTTATATTACTCTTCAACATATATATCTCTATATAATGTCTTCGTAATTCGTTATAAGCCCTCGAATAGTGATGCTGGGTGAGGTAGGTTTCAGGTTAGATCAACGATCGTGCAGCAAAATAATGTTTACTACTCAGGAATGTAATGTATCGGTGGCATTCGAGCAATGAGAAGAATATGATGACATCCTGGATAACACTCAATGTAATGTTAATTCGTAATTAGCTCCCACTGCCTTCGCTATATAAAGCCAGATCAGTGATAATTTTGTGCACAATGTTCACAGCCCTGTTGATTCTCGTTGTGGGCTTTACCACAATTTTGGCCACAGACTACATTCTATTGATTGATGATCCGGACATCTACTCGAATTGCATCGACGGACCACCCGGCTCCCAAGGAATCAACGATGCCTTCGACACAAGTGAAATGTTGGTTGATGTGGACCCCGACGGGATTCATGTTTCGGGGAATGTTACATCCAGATGGAATATGTCTCGCACAGATAGAATTTCAGTAAGAGTACTCCATTTAAATCATTCCAGAATTAAAGCAGGACTTAAAAATGATTTTACTTATAGGCCAGAATGAGCGTGCTGCACTACAACCGCGGTAGTTGGGAACCGACAGTATTTAACTCCCTCACACCGGATTTCTGCACCGCAATGTTCGATCCGAATCAGTTTTGGTTTAAGTACTGGTTCAAAAATTTTGCAAATCGTGAAGAAATGAAAGAAAAGTGCTTCTCAACGGCAGGTGTAAGTATAATAATGTCGGAAACTTTTAAAATCTTTTCGAAACGAATTATCTTTTCAGACTGTGTTAGTGTATAACCCGTTCACCGTGGTTCCGCGACTAAATAACGTCATGGGGGCTCCTTTAAAAGGACGGTATAAGGTTGTGGTATTGTTTGAAGCATTCGACGAAAAGAACCAACGAAGACCTTCACCCGTGTGCTTTGAGGTCACAGGCGAAATTGAGAAAATAAAAAATTAACAGAATAAATATGTACAATATGTAGATTTAAAAGATCGATACATGCAGAGAAATTCCTTCAGTGATCACTGTTTTGCTGAATGCGGTCTATGCCATTTAATAAATGTTTTGTTGTAATCAAAATAATTTCACTGCTTACGATACTAATTTACAATACAAATCCTTCTGAAATTATAAAATAAATGTATAAAAAACAGAATGAAAAATTATTGTACTAGTACTATTTACTTAAGAAGGTTGAGTGGGTACTTCAGCCTAAAGTGTCCCACAGTTTTGGGCGGTTTATGGGCGTTAGAATGGGGGTGGCACTTTGCTGAAACAAACTTTCGGCGCAGGAATCTATAGAATCTGCATGCTTAATCTTTTGTAGCTTTTATAGATCTACTCGACGTGTTCGGGAAAGATTCCCTTTACCCTGTTACACACATTCTGACGAATCTAATATACCCTTTTACGAACAACGGGTATTATTATCCCGTAATATTGGACTTTTTAGATTCTTTAAATGTTTTAAAAGTTAATTGCAAACTAAAACTACATGAAGGTAAATGAGGTTGTTTTGAGGTTGGATCAACGATCTTCCGGCAGAAATAACGTTACCTACTCACGTGACTAGCATTGAGCACGACAGTGCTTAAATTTGGATATTTGTGGAATTTTTAAAATTCAATGTCATGTATACCAAAAACAGGGCATTATCTGTCGGTTAAAATCATGCAATGTGAAGATTTTGATGACATCCTTGATAACACTTAATGTAATGTTAGTCCATACTTAACTCCCATTGCCATCGCTATATAAGGACAGATCGGAGATACTTTTGCGCATAACAATGCTTACTACCCTGCTGTTTCTCGTTGTGGGCTCGACCACAATCTTGGCCACCGACTACCTCCTGCTGATTGATGATCCTGACATTTACACGACGTGCAGGGAAGGACCTCCCGGTTCCCAAGGACTCAACGAAGCCTTCGACATAAGCGCAATGTCTGTTGAGATGGACCCCGATGGGATTCATGTTTCGGGAAATATTACATCCAAATGGGATTTACCGCGCACAGATCGGCTTACTGTAAGATTATTCCGTCTGAACCATCCCAGACTGATCTCAAGGAATTTTAATTTTAGGTCAGGATGAGTGTGTTGCACTATAACCGCGGTAGTTGGGAACCGACAGTATTTAACAGCTACACACCGGACTTCTGCGCCACCATGTTTGATCCGAATCAGTACTGGTTTAAGTACTGGTTCAAAAACTTTGAAAACCGGGAGGAGATTCAAGAAATGTGCCTCGCGACACCCGGTGTTAGTATAGTAATTTTAGCTTCGATACACAAAACATTTCGGAACGGATTATCTTTTCAGACTGTACTGATGTATAACCCCTTTACTGTGGTCCCGCAAATAAACAACGTCATGGGCCCTTCTCTCAAAGGACGCTATAAAGTGATATTCTTGTTCGAAGCATTTAACGAAAAGGACGAACGACGACCGTCATCGGTGTGCTTTGAAATCACAGGCGAAGCAGAAAAGATAAAGAAATAATATCATAATTTTTTAAAAATAAAAAATTCTATGAATGAAATTTAAAAATGCTCTCAGTTAAAAAAATGGCAATAAAATTGTGTTGCATTGCACTCGTAATAGATAACAGTTTTTCCTTGCTATACGAAATAATTTGCAACCTTAAAATAAATATATATTATCAACAGATGAGACTAGATAAATCCTATGACTGATGCATGCGCTGAACCACGGGGGAGTAGATCCCCCGTCTCGGGTTAAAAAATAAAATCATAAGCATATTATAGAGTGTTACATTTAAAATATGTATTTTATTCCAAATTTTGGATTTCTAAACAACAAAATTTTGATATATCCCCCCAACATCCAATCGTGGTTACGCCACTGGATTGATGGTATGTTAACAAAACAATTTTATTAACAAGCTATATATATTTTATATAAACTAGTAAAATAAATTCACACCATAAATAACCCGGTTCTAAAAGTCAAACTGATCGGCATTACATTTTAATACCTGTTTCATATTGTAGATATTAACACGAATACCTGAGAAATACCTAACATTGTTGGTTGGTGATGACATTGAAGATAATGTAATGTTAATTTGTAATTGAACCACTAGTTCCGTCAATTTTAATGGCTATATAAAGTTGGAACATCAATATTTCGACACACAACAATGTGGTCGATTCTCCTAATTCTGGCTGTGAACTTGGTCAGCGCTTGGGCGACGGACTATTATTTGCTAGTCGAAGATCCCGATGTCTATTCCCCGTGTACTGATGGTCCGCCTGGTTCGATTAGCGTTAACGAAGCCTTCAACATGGACAATATGGTTTTCGATCAGGACGAAGATGGCATTCATATATCTGGAAATGCCACGGTCAAATGGAGCCTTCCGCGCACTGATCGCATTTCCGTAAATAGACCTCTCTTAAAAAAAAAGATTACGGAACTCATTCTGATTTTCATTTTAGGCCCGTTTTAGTGTTATGCATCACACCCGGGGAACCTGGGAGCCTACTGTTATAAGCCAGGTCACTCGGGACTTTTGTGCCGTCTTCTACCACCAGGATCAGTACTGGTACAAATACTGGTTCAAAAACGCTGCCAACCTAGAGGAGATAAAAGAGAACTGCCTCGCAACAAAAGATGTGGGTATCAACATTTTTGTGTCAAGTTTTCTTCCCAAAATCGATTTATATTTTAGTCTGTGATGATATTCAACCCGTTCATTATGCATTTGCGACTAAATAACATCAATGGAGCTTCTTTTCGCGGTCGCTATAAAGCGGTGTTCCATATTGAAGCTTTTGACGAACACAACAAAAGGCGGCCGACATCCCTGTGTTTCGAGTTCAGGGGAGAAGTTGAAAGGGTAAAAGACTAACTATGTTTAGAAAACGTGTTCTTTGGAAATAAAGAGAAATGAGAGTTTAAAGTGGAAAAGCTCGATCAATGCCGCCACACGTACAGTGTACAACAGCGGTTGGCAAATATCAATGAGCAAACGTGCCAATTATTTAGTGCTAAAAGAAGGGAAACGGATGCATTTCATCATCAGTTCAGACTTAATTTATTGCATAATTAAAAGTATATATTCCTTTTAATATTTACAGTACTTGTGTTGTACTATAGTATAACAAAAAGATTTCGTGCTTTTCGTTATAAAGTGTACTTAGGAATTACAATCAGAACTGAAGGCATTCATATAACACAATCAGCCGCAGAAAACACAATACATAATCGGCATGATGGAGAAGAAACACTTAAAAATGGCCCCTGCTAACCCTCTTTCTTCCAGTCGAGGCGTTGAACAAAAAAAGTACACGCCACAGGAGTACAGGGAGAAGATCAATAGCTTGTTTCCGCTTCCGCCGAGGCCTGCAGATATGTGTCACGATGCGTTCGTTAAGAAACTCCTGGAGCCATATGTAATCGAGGCCAAAAAGGAGATTCGAGCCGTTAAGATGACCAAAGATTCCGGTAGCAGCTCCAGTGAGGATCCGAACGAAGCCTTCCGGGCGAAGATGTACAAGACGGACTACTGGGCACGAGCTTCCGTGTATATGGCCAGGGCCACTCTTGGCGCCAGGATAAGTGGCAAGTCGATTCTGAGTCCCCAGCAACGCGATTCGGCCGCCATGACGACCCAAATGTTCAAAGTGCGCTTCGCCAATCTGATATCCGACTTCCGGAACGTGTGCATCATCTACCAGTTGCTGCAGCTGCAGGAGATCCTCAACGTGATGCGAGAATATCCGCCGGCTGGCACCAATCCCAATGACACCATCTTCAGCTGGTCCTACAAGAAGAATCTGAAACGTTTCGAACAGCAAACGAACACCGTGTATGTGGACATTCTGGAGAAGAATAAAACCGAGGCCACGCTCGATGACCTCAAGTTCTATGTAGACTTGGGGGAACTAATTGGTCTGGTGCAAGCCCTGCTTGACGATGTGATCAAGGATCGCGATCTTTGTGCCGCCCATGGCTTTATGGAACTGCTCAAGTGAGTAATTTAAAAAGTTATTGCATACTTTCAAGGTACTCAGGTACCTTATGGTACATTTATCATATTTAAATATTTAAAAAACTTTATCTACATATATAATCTTGTATCTGTTATTAAAAATCTGTAAAGTAGAATATATACCTTAGAGACACCCAAGTGGACATCGACAAGCTAATTGCCGTGCCCTACGAGACAATAATGGCCGAGCACGATTCTTTAGTCGAGGAGAATGAGAAGAAGAATCGCGTTGGAAAATTTCACAATCCCAAGTTGGCGGCCAAACAACGCATCCTCAATAAAGAGCGATTCCAGATCGACTGTGAGTTCTTAGAATCCAATTGAGCCATTGGCGCTTTAAACTAACTTGAAAATATTTTTTGCAGTCATGGCCCCCATAGAGTCCCGCTATAGAATTAACTGGACCCACGATAATGTGGAACAGGGACAGTATATTGATTTCCTCCGCTGTAAGGTTTGTGCTTCTTATAACAGGCGAAGGTCTCCTTAGTTTTCAAGATACCTTGTACTTACCTATAGTTTATTACAATGAAAATGATCACTTTTTTCCCGTTAGGTGCTTTCCGATGAGTTGGACAAAATTGAAGACCTCACCCGCAAGGATTCGCTTGTTTGGAGGAGCTGCCACTTGGAGTATGTGACCCTGATCGAGCAGTACAAGAATCGTATTAACATGGTCCAACAGGCCTACGATGATGATATGGAAACTGCCGAAAATATGTTACAGGTCACCATCACTAAGGTAAACAAGTGCAAGGACGACCTGAGGTCATACAAAGAAAAAGTAGAGGATTTCCATGTGAAAATCCAGGAGGTGCGCGACAAGATTGCAAAAGAGGCGGAGAAGGAACGTGCGCGTCTGTCAGCGGTAAGTGAAACAAGTAACTTCAATATATTCAGATATAAACCTTTATTCCTTTAAAGGCACGAGCTTCCAAGAGAATATCCAGGATATTGGCAAAACAGAAAGAGGAGAAAAAGGCCGCCGAGAAGCAGGCTAAGTTGGAAAAAAGACTGGCTAGGCGAAATAAAACCGAAGAACCCGCTCCAACAAATTAAATAATGTTTATACATTGAAATTTGTTTTTATAACTTTTGGCCTACAATAAAATTTATTAATTCCAGAAACTAAATTTGTATATAGATATATGTTGTATATAGTTCTGTAATCTGTTTAAATTTTCTTTGCTTGACATAAAATAGTTGTTCTATGTGTGTAGATCAAATATCTTTCGCCCATGTTTTGTCTGTCTCTCTGTCTTACTTTCTAACACATTGCCCTGTTTACAGCATTTTCGGTCTCACTAATTGTTTAGATATACATATACATAACTCTATACTAGATACATTATATTCAATTTTGTTGTTTGATTTGGAAGAAAAGGGTCCATTTAGAAACTAAAACTTTATACACATGGTTTATACACAACGAAATTAGCGCAAGGAAATCATAACTTAGATTAGTAATACGGACTAACGAACTAAACAATTAAATGGCTTAGTCTAGGAGTAAACTTTAATTAGAATAACCAACTAGTTTTGCATAATATCAAAATGAAAACCGCTCTCAAAGTTAACACATAAAAAACACATGGTTTCCTTACACACAATTTGGTTAGGTCTGTTACTAAAACTATACATTAATCAAGCTGAGGATTATAGGATGAGGGATATCCGAGTGGGGCTGCTGCTTAATGGTTGGTTGGTTGCGCCTGGCGCAGTTTGGCCCTCACGTTCAGATATTCGGGATTGACGTACTGCCGATCCTCGGCGTCCTCCTGATCCTGTTTCTGGGCCGCCTCTTGCTTTTGCGCCCGCTCCATGATAACACGGCCGAGTTCTCCTTTCAGTCCCGGAATCCCTCCAATGATTTCCGCATCCGGTGAGTGTTGCTCGGCGGCGGCATGTCGCTCCTTCTGCTTGTCGTAAGCACGCTGCAGTTCCGATTTTTGGTTCAGCACGCTTTTGCCACTGAAATAATTAAAGAAATTACAAATTAAATGACGTTTCTATAAAATTACAATCATTCGCTGAATTGTTTGTTATAAAAATGCACAGAATATTGAATAATCAAAGCATAAAACCCAAAAGGTTGACAATTCAGCGAATTTATTTAAATATTACTCACACTCTGGCATTGAATTTTAGCTCCCGATGCAGTTCCTTGCGATCGATGTTCTCCATGCAGGGATTGATGAGCTTCTTGGGCAGGATCAGCCCATCGGAGTCCGTCTGGACGCCAGTGGGCGTGGCCGGGGGGGAGCTGGTCATGGACATCATCGTTCCGTCCGCGTTCTCAGCCTCCGCCAGACTGTGCCTGAATGCTGTATCTGAAAGATAGATGCAGAGAATTTAACGATTAGTGAATGGATTCGCATTCTTTCCCACTCGTCGACTGCACCGAGAAAAAATACTTGCTAATAAATAAATATGATTTCTACAAGACACAATTAAGATTAAGATAATATAATCACCCCATGTTATACAAAGTCTGTACCTTTTATAACAAACAGAGCCATATCTTTAAGTTGTTGTTTTTAAAATGAATAATTTTGTTTCCTCAGTGTATATCTGTTCGATGTCCCCTTGTTTGACTGTGCCAAAGTTTAATTGGCACTTGGCCTTCCCCTCACAAATCAGTTCGGGCCTTAACCATCCAACAATGCACACAACAACCGCTCGCGAACCCAACAGAACCAAACAAAAGACGTCTAAAGCTTCGTCTTCGTCGTTTATTAAGGTTAAATATTTCTCCCCATTCATGTCATTGTCAATTTGTTATTACAAAAAAGAATAAAATAAAAAAAAAGGCCGGCAAACAACAACAGCTGTAAAACCGTAAAAAAAAATTATGAGCTGCAGAGGAACAGAAACTGGATTCAAGTCAGCGGTAAAGTTCTTTCCGACCGTATTCTTCTCGTTCTGGTTCTACTGTTCTTTTTGTAAATTTTTCTCTGAACCGTCACCAGCGATGAACTTCTTTTGTTCACCCATCATATTAACCCACATCGCGGCGAACTAGTTAGTAGCTCGAAGCCCAAAACCTAAACTAGATTAATAGCCGATGATAAGGGACAGAGTGAAAATAAATAAAAAAAAAAGAAAAAAGCGCTGAAAGGGCAATGACTTGGTGAAATGGCTTCGCAACCGAGATGAAAATCGCAATAAGTTCAGTGAGTACAGTTTTGAGCAGAATTTGCTGACTAGAGCACCAGGGAACTGTGCCAAAAAGTCACAATCTAAATGGAATTACATTTGTATAGATCGGAGATATCAAGCAAATGCAAACTGGTGCATCTTAATAAGTTTGGGCTAAAGCCAAATGTACTTACAATAATAAAACATATTATTATTAAAAATAACATGTGCTCTGAGAAAGAATTGTAGTCCAAGCAATTCAAAAGTGGGCCAAAGTATTTTTTCAGCGTCAATAAATAAACACAGAAAGTCGGGCAGTTAAAGCACTTGATAAAAAGTTTATAAAAAAAAGGGTCAATAGCAGAGAGTACAAAATCATTTACAGCAACATAATATAAATTGGCAAACTTGTTCACACGAGTCTCAACATTTCTTCGAGAGGGTTAACCAACCTTAATTGCCATCTCCGCTCAAAGTTCGCGCTCGACAATCGATCAATCAATTTCATCAGAGTCACTTCAGACAATCCAACTAAATTATGGTTGATTCAATGGAAAAACATTCAAGACTTGTAAGCTCAAACCACACAAATCTCTTGTTTGTCGACTCTAATGGCCATGAAAACGCCGGTCTGCGGTGGTAAGCCTTTAACATTTTGAAGCCCTCGGGCAAAATATGACAAAACCAGCTTTATCAGCGACTGCATTATGCTAATCAATATGTCCCATATGTGGCCCAATCGGAAATCGCATGCAAAGCCGTATTGATTG